AAATACTATATGATAATAATAATTATAATAATAATAATAATAATAATAATAACAACAATAGTAATAATAAAAAGAACACAAATGTACCTTGTTTACAATTGCTTAATTTGCAAATGAACCCCTTTCTACTGCCCTGGTCTCTTTAGTATAAACATAATTCCAGAGCGACATCATCTCTTTGCGGGGCGGTGCATGGGCTCCTATGATCAATGTCATTGGCTGTCACAGTTATCATGTGATCATGAGCTGTCAATGACAAGGGGGACACCTGATTGAGTTTGCTTCCAGCACAAAGTAGTTATGCATATACACTATATTGCTAAAAGTATTGGGACACCCCGCCAAATCATTGGATTCAGGTGTTCCAATCACCTCCATGGCCACAGGTGTAACACATCAAGCACCTAGGCATGCAGACGCTTCTACAAACATTGGTGAAAGGATGGGTCGCTCTCAGGAGCTCAGAGAATTCAAGTGTGGTAACGTGATAGGTTGCCACCTGTGTAATAAGTCCACCCGTGAACGTTGCTTGCTACTAAATATTCCACGGTCACCTGTTAGTGGTATTATAACAAAGTGGAAGCAACTGGGAACAACAGCAACTCAGCTACAAAGTGGTAGGATATGTAAAATGACAGAACGGGGTTAGCGCATGCTGAAGTGCACAGTGCGCAGAAGTCATCAACTGTCTGCAGAGTCAATAGCTACAGTCCTCCAAACTTCATGTGGACTTCAGATTGGCACAACAACAGTGTGTAGAGAGCATCAAAGAATGGGTTTCCATGGCTGAGCAGCTGCACCCAAGCCTTACATCACCAAGTGCAATGCAAAGCGTTGGATGCAGTGGTGTAAAGCACGCCGCCACTGGACTCCAGAGCAGTGGAGACGTGTTGTCTGGAGTGACGAATCACGCTTCTCTGTCTGGCAATCTGATGGACTCATCTGGGTTTGGCAGTTGCCAGGAGAACGGTACTTGCCTGACTGCATTGTACCAAATGTAAAGTTTGGTGGAGGGGGGATTATGGTGTTGGGTTGTTTTTCAGGGGTTGGGCTTGGCCCCTTAGTTCCAGTGAAGGGAACTCTTGACGTATCAGCATACCAAGACATTTTGGACAATTTCATGCTCACAACTTTATTGGTACAGTTTGGGGATGGCCCCTTCCTGTTCCAACATGACTGCGCACCAGTGCACAAAGCAAAGTCCATAAAGACATGGATGAGTGAGTTTGGGGTGGAGGAACTTGATTGCCCTGAACATAGTCCTGATCTCAACCCGATAGAACACCTTTGGGATGAATTAGAGCGGAGACTGCGAGCCAGTCCTTCGCGTCCAACATCAGTACCTGACCTCACAAGTGCGCCTCTGGAAGAATGGTCAAACATTCCCATAGACACACTCCTAAACCTTGTGGACGCCTTCCCAGAAGAGTTGAAGCTGTTATAGCTGCATAGGGTGGGCTAACTCAATATTGAACCCTATGGACTAAGACTGGGATGCCATTAAAGTTCATGTGCATGTAAAGGCAGGCGTCCCAATACTTTTGGCAATATAGTGTTTGTGGCAGCTTGACATTAAGGCACAAAGCTGTGTTGCCATAGATATGCATACATCTATCTGGAAGGGGGTTAAACATTCAGTTTTCTAAGTGAAAAGGCCCCTTTACTTTAGTAACTCAACCCTAGTGACTTGATTTTATGTCATGGGGAGGTGTTTGAGCTCTTTGACATGAGGTCTTGGGGTATATATATGAGTGTTGCATGTTGTATCACTGTCGCTATGTCGCCCTGATGAAGGGACCCTGCGTGGCCCCGAAACGTTGGCTATCTGATACATGTGACGTTACATATCAATAAGTCAACACAAAGATTTAAAACAATATCTTTTGAGTGCTGGTGATCTACTACTTTCTCAACTTGATTTTAGGTCACACTTGGCTATGGATTATGGGAGCACATGTGCAACTTTTAGTAGGGTGATCATGCTAGTAAAATTGATAGCACTGAATTGGTAGTAGTAGTGATCAATCTCTGTGCATATGGAACAAATTACTCCATATGGATTCAGTCACACGAGTAGCATGTAGTACTAATAAATCATGATCACTTACTGCTCCAAATGCGTGGTTAATCGCTACTACATGTTTCTTGTGTGCCTTACTCCATAGAGAACCATTTGATCCATATGTGTAGCAATCCATCGCTACTATTAGCTATTTTAGTTGTGTAATCACCCAACTAAAAATTGCCAGTGTGCTTTTAGCCCTAATGTGTCTTTAAACCTAAAATATAATTTTCACTACGTTTGGTATTATGCCTTACTGTATACCGTTTCCTATCAATTATTATTTGTAAATCTGTTGTAAATTTTATTATCTGAAGAACCTGCCAGTGTTATCACATCCTGTTGACAACACTAAGCCACAGCCTCTGGCAATTAGC